CTAAGGTCATTGTCTTACGAAGAATTTGTACAACCATTGCAGCCACCTCTTCCATTAGATTTTATCCCTTACTGGGTAGAGGACCCCCAAAATCGGAAGGGACTTGGTGCATTGTCGAAGACTGACCCCCCTTAAAAACCTAAAACAGTATATTCCATCCCCTCTGTTTCTGGTGATCAGGCGCCATTGGTTATGTAGCCAAAACTGGATAATCTATGCAGAAAAAGGGGTAGTTCCAGGAAGTCTGGACAACCTCTGAGATTTTAAGAAGTGCAAAAAATTGGGGTGGGGAAAATTAAGAGGGGAACCCCAAAATCACACCAGTGAGAGCTGAACATACTTTGTGGCCACAGAGAGCTGTCAGAATGGAGTAGTTGGACGGTATCGCTGTACGCTGCAACATTTTGTTGCAGTTCCCACTTGTGTGTTATCTTTAGGCGGACAATATTTCAAGTGATTGCTGCTCCCTTCCTCCCAGCCAACCATTCGGTGAGATGGTGGTCTGCAAGCCTTAAGAAACGACCTGTGGCTCCTACAGCATCTGAGATTTAAATGCTGCTACGTCTTTGAAGATGGGAAAGCCTTTGATTCCTTCCTTTTTTCCCACACCCCTGTTTTCTTGTTTCTTGCAGGTCGTTGGAGACAAAGTGTTGGAGGAAGAGATCAGCTTCCCTGTGAGTGGCTCATCATCATCATCATCAGTGCTTTTTTTCCTAAAAAACTGTGCCCTGCAGTTTAGGAGGCATCTCTTCTCCTGAAGATCGTGAGCCTCTGTCTAATTACCGTATTTTTCGCTCCATAAGACGCACCAGACCACAAGACGCACCTAGTTTTGGGAGGCGGAAAACAAGAAAAAAAATATTCTGAATCTCAGAAGCCAGAACAGCAAGAGGGATCGCTGTGCAGTGAAAGCAGCAATCCCTCTTGCTGTTCTGGCTTCTGGGATAGCTGCACAGCCTGCATTCGCTCCATAAGACGCACACACATTTCCCCTTACTTTTTAGGAGGATAAAAGTGAGTCTTATGGAGCAAAAAATACAGTATATTTATTTTATCCCACCTTTTTCCCTGACAGGGACTCAAGGTGACTTGAGGTGGTGATTGCAGTTTTACAATCCTCTAAGTAATAATAATAATAATAATAATAATAATAATAATAATAATTTATTATTTATACCCCACCCATCTGGCTGAGTGTCCATATTTCCCCTTCCAACTCTGCAATTCTGTGATTCTCTGAAGCCTTCGCCTCTTTCCCATTGCTCTTTCCCCCGTGCAGTTAACGGTTGGGCGTCTGGGGAAGGTTGTGGAGGAGAAGAAATCGATCACCCTGCAGGACATCAGCTTGGTAGGTCTGCCCTGGGCTTCTTCAGTACGTGTCATGCATGTCACTGGGGCTCCCATGCTGTGGCTCCAGCACGATTCACATTTTATTTCTCCGGCTGCCCTGCTCTTGAATGAAGCCAGGATTACAGAGATACATGTCAACCGCCAACCCAGCAGGGGCTGTTTGGAATGTGCCCTTTCATATTCAGTTTGCAAAAAGGAGGCAGATCTTCCTGGAATATATACACACACACAGTGGTACCTTGGTTCTCAAACTTAATCTGTTCCATAGGTCCGTTCCAAAACCAAAGGCGTTCCAAAACCAAGGCGCACTTTCCCTTAGAAAGTCATGCAAAACGGATTAATCCCTTCCACTTTTTAAAAACAACCCCTAAAACAGCAATTTAACATGGACTTTACTATCTCACAAGACCATTGATCCATTCAGCCTGCACCTCTTCCTTAAGCGCGATTTGCTCAGCTCAAACCACTTTGGCTCAATCTGTCTTCTCCGTGCCCAATTTAAGAGCCCTCTCGCGCCCCAGACCTCCTCTCTCTCGGCTAGATTTGTCACACTCCAGGGTGGACTAATATCGCGTCTTAATCGTGCGGTGGCTTGGCTGGACGCAGGGAAATCTGGCGGGTCAGGGAAAGGCTGGCCGGCCCTCTCCCTTTTTCTGCCTTGGCAGTCGGCTGCCGGGCAGCATCCATGCAAGGCTGGCATCCCGCGATTTTGGACCAGCCAGAAATGTGTTTAACTCCCCGTCCTGCCCTACTTGTTGACTGAGGCATGGATGACGGATCGGCCGAGCAAAAGAGCTTGCCGAGGCGCCACAGGCTGGCTCTGGCGGTTGCGACAGGGATGGGTTTGATTAAAGGGGGAAAATAGAACTAGTTGCTTCCCTTCTTAGTTCCCAAATGTTTTGGCTCCCAAATGTTGCAAACTTGGAAATGACTGTTCCAGTTTGCAAACTATTTTTGGAAGCTGAACATCCAACAGGGCTTCCGCAGCTTCTGATTGGCTGCAGGAGATTCCTGCAGCCAATCAGAAGCCTCGCTTTGGTTTCCTAATGTTTTGGAAGTCAAATGGACTTCTGGAATGGATTCCATTCAACATCCAAGGTACGACTGTATCGGTAAAATGCCCGGGAAAACCTGGGCATATGGGAACCCGTGTTGGAAGTGTTGATTTGGGGGCGAATTTCCTTAAAAATGGTTTTTTAAAAACCAACAACTGTGTCACCCGCCCCCCAAAAAACCTCAAAAACTTTTTGAAATATGGCAACCATATCCCAGCATTTATCTGAGGGGTGTTGGAGGGTATGTCGGAGGGTTCCCTAGGTCTCAGGTTTGGACCATGATATCTCAGGGTATGTGACATTTCTGATGTTTCAACCCTCGAGGCTGAGACGCCCCACCCCACCAAGCCAACCACAGACGGAAGGGAACCTGCCAACTCTGCTCCCGTCCCCTGGATGACCAGCCCTTGTCTTTTCCCGCCAGGAGGAGCATAAACAGCTAAACAGTATGTTGGGCTTTGAGGTGACCGCCATGCTGTGCGTTCCGGTGATCAGCAGAGCCACCTCGCAAGTCGTGGCGTTGGCCTGTGCCTTCAACAAGCTCGGTGGAGAGAGGTGAGTTCGAGGCTCCGTGCCGGCTGCGGACAGGAGCCGGAACAGAGCCACTGCCAAGAATTCTCCCTCAAAGTTTGATGGTCTCTCAGTCTAGGCCCCCTTCCTGCCAGGAATATATATTGCCCTGGTTGCTGTTTTATTTTTGGGGGGAAAAACAACTTCCACAAAAGCGCCATGAAAATGTCTTTCTATGGAAGGTTACTACGGAAGTGGGGAGGGATGGCGGCAAATGCGACTCCAGTGGCGGGTAGTTCCGCAGTACAGAATTAACATGGTTGTTGTTCTTCCTCTCCCCCCCCCCCCCCCGTAGCTACTCAGAAATGGACGAGCACAAGATCCAGCACTGCTTCTGCTACACCTCCACGGTGCTGACCAGCACACTGGCCTTCCAGAAGGAGCAAAAGCTGAAATGCGAGTGTCAGGTGAGGGGCGGGCAGGCGGGCACACCTGGCGTCTCTAGGGCAGCGCTGGAGAGGTGGGTCTGGAGCTCTGCATCTCTAAGGGCATCACCAGACAACGTGCTTGCATCAGTTTAACCATTACAAAGGCACTGTAGTTTGTTGATATGGCAGGGCAGTGCGGTGTAGTGGTTACAGCAGGGGTTGGCAAACTAAGGCCTGGGGGCGGGATGCGGCCCCCCAAGCTCGTAAATCCAGCCCGCAGACCCTGCCACCCGCTCGGTCAGTCCCTGCGCACTGCAGACGACTTGCCACGCGGGGACTGACGTCCGTGACGCTGGCACGGCTTCTGGGCGGGCAGCAACACTGGCGAGGCTTCGGATCAGCTGCAGAAAGCTCCTGCAGCCCATCCGAATCACGGGCAGCTCTGGGTGGGTGGTGACGCTGGCACGGCTTCGGATTGGCTGCAGGAAGTTCCCACAGCCAATCCGAAGCCTCGCCCCCTGCAGCTGAGGTAAACCCGGCAGGCGGGCAGCGGGTCTGGGCCGTGCCATGGGCATCGTGATGGGCGCATCGCAGGGCTTCAGCCAGAGCTTGGTGGCTGCGCTGGAGGGCAAGCTGTGCGCTGCCTGCCCGGCGCTCTGTGTGCATGGCCTGCCCGCCTCCCTGGCCTCAGACGGCAGGCCGCAGTGCATAGTGCACGCCGCCTAGGAGTTCCGCAAGGACAGGCCAATGGAGCGGCTGCTGTTTGTCAACAATGTTGGTGAGTGGGCAGCGCCGAGATGCGCTCCTGAGCGCGTGCAGAGTGCATTCCTCCTCCAGGTCTGAAGGCAGTTGCGGGACTGGCTTGCAGGGTATTTACATTTTTCAAAATCTAGTCTGGCCCCCCCCTAAGTCTGAGGGACAGTGGACCAGCCCCGTGATGAAAAAGTTTGCTGACCCCGGGGTTACCGTGTTCAAAAGGTTGCCCTTTTCTGAACGTCCGCCTCTTTAGAAACTCTCATCTGCCCCCCACTCTTGAAACTTCACCTTCCTTGCTCCTACTGCCAAACGCCTGCCCGGCATGGGGGGAACTTTGCTTTGCCAGAGCCGTGCAAAGTTTTTGACCTGTCGACTGAAACTCTTGTAAATCCTGCTGGTCTCCTTTTCCCCACCTGCTGGCCTGCTGACGCTGGAAGCAGCAGCAAAAGCTCAGCAGGGATGCTCTCTGCAGGATCCTGCGCAGCCCACAGAGCGGCCTCTGAGCTCAAGCAGCAAGGGGGACGCAAGCAGTTGCCTTCTCAAAGGCCCCCAGCCTCATTAGAGCCAGCCAGGTGACGGTATGAAAGGGAAGGACGGAAGTAGGTTCCGGGAAGCCAGCTGAGATCAAAAGAGCCGGGAGGCTGCTGCAGAAGAGGGGGCAGGAATCGAGGAATCCTAGAACCTTAGAGCTGGAAGGGGTCCCCAGAGGTCATCCAGTCCAACCCCCCCATGCCCACATCACAGCTAAGCCTCTGTTTGGAAACCTCTGGTTTGAAAGTTTTTCCAAGTTAGGTTCCAAGGAGCATATGTACAGCAAGGACATGGAAACACAGAACTGCAGAGGTGGAAGGGACCCTGAGGGTCTTCCAGTCCAACCCCCTACAATGCAGGAAGATGCATCTGTCCCATACGGAGATCGAACCTGCAACCTTGGCGTTATCAGCACCACACTGTAACCAACTGAGCTATCCATTCACTTGGCAAAATAGCTTGCAGACAAAATAGATTAAAAACAACAATAAGGGTCTGAGCCATTCATGTCCTTGGTCCAGTCTGATGAAATGCAGGCTTCTCCTTAATAGAATCACGATCTTGTTGAGTTGGAGGGGACTCCAGTGGTCATCTAGCCCTGCCCCCTGTGATTCAGGAATAACAGCTAAAGAATCTCTGACAGATGCCCGCACCCCAACCTCCCCAACCCTTGTGGGGGGCCAGATGGGTGGGGTATAAATAATAAATTCTATTCTATTCTATTCTATTCTATTCTATTCTATTCTATTCTACAATCTTATTCAAAGTCAAAAAAAGAAGTTTACTCACATCAGTTCACAGTTGGATCCGTGAAGGCAGACTTAGTCACAAATATGTACATGAGGATCTACGCCATATGGGGGAATAATCTCAGTGCTTCTGCTAGCTGAGAGCTGGCAGAGCAGTCCTAGCTAGAAGCTGGTCAAACAAAGAAGGAAGTCAAAAAGAGAGGGAGGTGTGTTTCGTGACTCGTCCTTTTATACTTGGACAGGTAAGGCCACACCCACCTTCTATCACATGCAAAAGGAAGGATGCTCCAGCCAGGAGGAACAGGAAGTTTCGACTGGCTGGACCAAACATTCCTTGCATGTCTTCTCTAGCATTACAAGGAATGTTGGACTTGACTGCCTCTCATGGATCACATCCCACAAGTCCACCACCTTCCAAGGAAGCCTGTTTCCCCTTCAAATAGCTCTTGTGCTTAGCAGGTTCTACCTTACTTTTAGTCAGCATTGCAAGGAGGAGCCCTGGATCTTAGCCTTTTTCGCTAATCGTTTTCTCGCACTTCAATCCTTTTACCTCCTTGCCTCAGCTGGATGAGCAGACACGCTGAAGATTGCAACGCCCAAACGATTTGCAAAATGTAACCGTCTAAATTTAATAATGACAATTTGAGGTATTGAGGGATAGCTCGGTTGGTAGAGTTTCTGAAGTTTGTGAGTTCGAGCCCCACATTGGGTGAAAGTCGACCTTCCTGGTCCCTTCCAACTCTACCATTCTATGATATAATAATAATAATAATAATAATAATAATAATAATAATAATAATAATTTTATTTATACCCCGCCCTCCCCGGCTAGAGCTGGGCTCAGGGTGGCTAACACCAGTAAAATTACAGTAAAAACATGGGGGGGGGAGACCAATTTAAAATGCAATTTAAAATGCAGCCTCATTTTAAAAGTGGCCCATAGATCAAGACCATAAGGGGAGGGAAACGTAAGGGTCAGACTGAGTCCAAACCAAAGGCCAGGCAGAACAGCTCCGTCTTGCAGGCCCCGCGGAAAGATGTCAAGTCCCGCAGGGCCATGGTCTCTTGTGACAGAGCGTTCCACCAAGTTGGGGCCAGTACTGAAAAGGCCCTGGCCCTAGTTGATACCAATCCAACCACCTTGCGACTTGGGACCTCCAAAATGTTGTCATTTGTGGACCTTAAGGTCCTCAGCGGGGCAGACCAGGAGAGGCGGTCCCGTATAACTGCTGTTTAGACTTTTGCTTGGTTGCCCTGAGATGCACGTCCGAAGCCCCAGGGTGCCCTGATCTCAGAACCTCAGCTGACAAGCACATATCTTTTTATAGTTGGTCAAGGTCTTCGCGAGAGGGAAAGAATAATCTTATTGCTGGAACAGAGCCCCCCCAAAAAAACAAAGAAAGAAGAGATGGCTATCGGGAGCTACTAACCAAAATGGCTCTGCTGTGGAGGTTGCTAGAAACCACAGGAGGGGAAGGGGCACTTGTGTTTGAATCCTGCTTGCATGTTTTCTATAGAATCATAGAATCATAGAGTTGGAAGAGACCACAAGGGCCATCGAGTCCAACCCCCTGCCAAGCAGGAAACACCATCAGAGCACGCCTGACATATGGTTGTCAAGCCTCTGCTTAAAGACCTCCAAAGAAGGAGACTCCACCACACTCCTTGGCAGCAAATTCCACTGTCGAACAGCTCTTACTGTCAGGAAGTTCTTCCTAATGTTTAGGTGGAATCTTCTTTCTTGTAGTTTGGATCCATTGCTCCGTGTCCGCTTCTCTGGAGCAGCAGAAAACAACCTTTCTCCCTCCTCTATGTGACATCCTTTTATATATTTGAACCTGGCTATCATATCACCCCTTAACCTCCTCTTCTCCAGGCTAAACATGCCCAGCTCCCTTAGCCGTTCCTCATAAGGCATCGTTTCCAGGCCTTTGACCATTTTGGTTGCCCTCCTCTGGACACGTTCCAGTTTGTCAGTGTCCTTCTTGAACTGGGGTGCCCAGAACTGGACACAGTACTCCAGGTGAGGTCTGACCAGAGCAGAATACAGTGGCACTATTACTTCCCTTGATCTAGATGCTATACTCCTATTGATGCAGCCCAGAATTGCATTGGCTTTTTTAGCTGCCGCGTCACACTGTTCTGGTTGATCATTTGTGAGAACAGGACTGGAGGGGCCATGGCCCTCATCCAGCAGGGTCTTCAAATGTAGCCAAGTCTGTGGGTAGCATCCCATCGCCCACCAGGCTCTGCATCCCCCCCCCCTTTCCACCCCAAAACACCTGAGTAGCTGTCCAACTCCCCAGAGAGCAAAGGTCATGAATTGGGTGAACAGGGGACGGCAGCTGGTTGGTCCAAATGAGAGCCAGTGTGGTGCAGTGGTTAGAGTGTACCAGGGAGAGACCTGGGTTCGAATCCCTCCCCAACTGGGCCATGAAGCTCATTGGGTGTGACCTTGGGCCCAGTCCCTGCCTCTAACCTCCCTCGCAGGGTCGTTGTGGGGATAAAGCGAGGGGTGGAGGACAACCATGCACTGTCGCTTGGAGCAGACAGGTGGCAAAAATCAAGGAAAACATTAAAGGACGGCTTTCTCAACTTTAAAATATTTCTGTGCCAACTGCGTGCAAAGAGCACCCTCTTGTGGCAGCAGCTGGTGCTGCAGGGCAATAAATAGCATTGGCTGAGGAGCAAAGCTGATTTACTGCTAATACTGCTGCACATGGAAATTGATTTGGCGTGGAAGGATTTATTTCTCTGTTTGTTTCATAAAATTTATACACCGCTTGCTGGATTTAAAAAACCATTGAACTCAGCTCACCTGTGGCTCCTAGAAGCTGTCAGAAGGCCACAGCAGCCAAACCTAGGAAACAGCTTCCGCTGACCGATTAAATCCAGTGAAGGCAGCCGGTGGGTCTCTAACCCTCAGGGAATTAGGGACCTCCCCTGAATGAGAAGACAGGCTCTTGAAGACTGAGGAGACGAGACCAAGAGTGGGTCTAATGGTCAAGAAAGCTGTTTCTGCAAGTGCTGTAGAGAGAAGGGAGGGGCAGGTTGGGTCATCCACCTGGAAGGGGGCCCATCTGGGAGAAGGAAAACTCTGGTCCTAGATGTCTTCTGCCTTGAGGGACATCTTCGGGAGAAGAACGGGCTCAGGAGTAAACCCTACGCAAATCTGGAAAGGAGTCCCGAAGACGGTTGGATGGTGTCTTTTATACTCTTTCCAGCCACTCTGGCAGCCAGGTAAAGGTAAAGGGTCCCTAACCGTTAAGTCCAGTTGTGGCCGACTCTGGGGTTGCGGCGCTCATCTCGCTTTATTGGCCGAGGGAGCCGGCGTACAGCTTCCGGGTCATGTGGCCAGCCTGACTAAGCCGCTTCTGGCAAACCCAGAGCAGCACAGGGAAACGCTGTTTACCTTCCCGCCAGAGCGGTACCTATTTATCTACTTGCACTTTGACGTGCTTCCGAACTGCTAGGTTGGCAGGAGCAGGGACCAAACAACGGGAGCTCACCCTGTCGCGGGGATTCGAACCGACCACATCAGCAAGGTTGAGAGGACCTCATATACTACATAGTGTTGTAACTCTAATTCCTTTGTCATTTTGATGTTGCGTCGTATGAATCACGAAGTGGGCGGGGAGGCATCACCTGCTTTGATTTCAGAATTAAGGTGCAAGGTTTATATATTTCATCTCTCTCTCCTTCTCTCTCTCTCTCCTCCCCTCAGGCTCTTTTGCAAGTAGCCAAGAATCTCTTCACACACCTCGGTAGGTATCCTCCTTCATAGCTGCCCCCAGTGTAGCCTTGGGACTCAGTCCCCATCTGTAAAATGGGAATAATGGCAACTACAACAAACAATGGGGAAGCTTTGCAATGAAATCCTGAAGGGCCAAAAAGGCCTCTGTGTGCCACCACAGTCATGATATTCAACGGGGAACATTTTCAATGGCCCATGTCAGGCATCGCTGAGCTGTTGACGTCAGCAGGTACCCTTGAGCCACCCACCGTTCCTACCTCACAGGGTTGTCGGGATGGTAAAATGGGGAAAGGGGGGTGGATCCTGCATGCCACCTTGAGCTTCTTGGACAAACAGGTGGGGTCTAAATGTGATAATATTAAATAAATCGAAGGGGAAAGGGGGCTGCAGGGAAAAGGGGTGCCTTTCTGGTCCTCCCTCTGGACCCCAGAATTCTCTCCGCATTTGAGACTCACCACAGCTTAACGCGCTCTCTTGTGCTGAGCGAAGGAAGGTGATGAGATAGAAACTGAGCCTAGAGTTTCCAGCAGATGTGATGGAAGTCCTGTATGGCTTATTTATTTATTTTAATCATTTTTATTGATTTTCCAATAAAAAACATCCAATTAATATATCCAATCATAAAATTAAAAAAACTAAAATAAAAAAGACCAAATTATAATTATTAATTTTTCAGCGCTCCCCACGGTCTGGATCTCTGAAGCATATCTCCAAATCTCAGTCCTGCCTCTCCTTCTTGTTTCCATATTTTCCACATCTCAATTTTGATGCTTTATAATTCTCCGTCCCTGAGTCCACGATTCTCAATCATGTCAAACATCATGTACTTTCATCCGTCGACGACAGCTTTGTTAGTGTATATTTTTCCAACTGTCTTTTTATCAGCGCAGCTTCCTCTGACTCCGTTCCAATCTGGGATGTTGTCCAAGTCTGTTAT